CTAAGGCACTCCGCCGACCACACATTCTGCACATACCATCTCAGTTATACAGAGTAATTCTGGCTGCAAACAAAGGGCTTAATGAAAACAAATGCTGAACACTCAGAGACACACAGACAGGCCTTCTGCACTGGAAAATGCACTAAAGAGCTCAACAGCATTTTTTAGTTGACCTCAACTGGCAGAACTAACATTTTATCCCCTCAAGTCATCAGATTGATCTGCCACTGGACAAATAAAGGCAGTCTTGACTGCCCCAAATCTCAAAGATGCCACTTTATCAGAAACTTTGCTCTTGTAGCTCCAGCCTGCTGGTGTTTCTAATAAAGTGGCCAATGAGTGGAAGTACAAGGTCAGTGTTTCTAATAAAGAGGCTAGTGAGAGGAAGTACAAGGTTGGGATAAGCATGTATCAAAGCAGCTGAAAAAATCACATCTGTGTCACATTTAGTCAAAAAATCAGATCTGAGCCACTACAGTCTATATTAGAGAGATATTCAAATCGAGACTCACCCAGAAGTGGGCGTGGCAGTTGACCACCATCGTCCTCTCAATCAGCTCATCCGGACACTCCAGCAGGTGATGACCCGACACCACGCCGGCGTTATTGATCAGCAGGTCCACCTCCCCCACCTCCCTGCGCACTCGCTCGGCTGTGGAGTACACACTCTCCCGCTTACCCACGTCACACACGTACGTGTACACCTGTGGCTGGAACGCAGAACCCTCCTCTGACCCAGAACCTGCAGGAACATGCACAAAAGACACAAACCTTCAGCACAATCAACAAACTGATTAAGATGACGGGCTCTGTCCTGCCACAGTGGATGCACCAGAGATACTATTCTGCCAATTTCTCAGCTAAATCAATATGTCAATCCATCTATCACAACAGTACATGTTTCACATTCAGCATCACCTTCAGTAAGACCTCACCAATCACAGCTAATAAAGGCATTACTGTCAATATCAGATCAATACTATATTGTGACCTACTGACCAACTGATTGTGTGTTCCCACTTTGTTGGTATTGTCTTCACTAATTTGCATTACGTAAGATTTGGTCTTCTCTCTCTTTCTCTCTCCCCTCATTCTCTCTTTCTGTTCCCTTTTCATTCTTGTCACTCTTTCCATTGTGACTTTCTTCAGTCTCTTTCACACTCTCTTCATTCTCTCTCATACTCTCTCTGCTCCCTCTCCACTCTCTCTCCACTCCCTCTTCATAATCTCTCTCTTCATTCTCTCTCACTCTTCACTCTCACTCTTTCCATTCTTTCTTTCTTCTTGTCACTCTCCATTCTTACTTCCTTTATTCTTTCACACTCTCTTCACTCTGTTTCCTCTTCACTCTCTCTCTACTCCCTCTTCATTCTCTCTCCACCCTCTCTCTCCTTCTCTCCATTCTCTCTCACTTTTTATTCTCTCCATACTCTCACTCTTTTCACTCTCTCTTCATTCTGTCATCCTCTTTCACTCCCTTCATTCTCTTCCACACTCCCTCCATTATAACCTTCTTCATTCTCTCTCACACTCTCTTCATTCATTCATTCTCTCTCTCTCTCACTTACCCTCCGTTTGCGTGTCCAGTTCTCTGTAGATTTCTCTGACCATCTCTGCGGTCTCCTCGTTGCTTGTGCTGTTTATGTCCCACAGCACGAGTGTGGCGCGGCGGCGCGCGAACTCCCGCGCGAACAGGCGGCCGAGCTCCCCACCGGCGCCCGTAATCACGCACACCTGCCCGGTCACACTCTTCTCCTTCGGCCGCACGAGCCAGCGTAGCGCGGCGGCCAGCACAGCCCACGCGACCTGCAGCAGCACCACGAGGAATTCCAGCGCGAGGGCCAGCATGGCAGCGAGAGACGTCAATACTAACTGACTGGAACTAATCGACTAATAAAGCACTAATAAACTGCTAATAAATCACTAATAGAGCACAATAAACCTTTAATAAATCACTAATAGAGCACTAATAAACTGCTAATAAATCACTAATAGAGCACTAATAAACCGCTAATAAATCACTAACAGAGCACTAATAAACCTCTAATGACAGCTTCTCCAAAGTGATCAGTAGTTGTTGTGTTTTTTGTTATGATGTAGTATAAATCAGCGCACGAGTTTCATTCAGATCCCTGTTGAAGTTAAACTCTTCTGCAGGCTAGTCCACTCTACCGAATATTAATTAATAATATTAACAGCATATTAAACCTGTGTAATAATAATAAATAAATACCGCGTGCGTTAAACCCGTCACTGCGCTCTAAGCTCTCCGCGCGCTGCTCTGACGCTCCTGTGTGTGCGGCTCGCGCTCTGACTACTCTAAGTGTTTGATCTAGGCGCGTGCTCTCCGCTGCTCTCCGCGCGCTGACTGTCTGAGCTGCAGCTGCGCGCGCTTTAAAGCGGCATCGCGCTGCCCTGAGGACCACTGAGGGAAGGAGGAGGGGTCTTGAGGAGCGCCTGAGTGAAAATACAACAACGGGTAACGATATAATGACAAGAGTTTAGATATATAACACATTAATAACACACATTGAACACACATTAATACTTATATATAAGATTAATACTTCTGAGAAGATTAGATATAAGACAATCCACTTGCATAAGGAAGGAGATCAAAATGAAAAAGACAGGAGTTTCCAAAACTGGAGTTCAAAAAGTGTGATTAAAAGGTACAGAGAAAATGGGATTCCTAACAACCACCTGAAAGACCTGGTAGACCACCAAATCTGTCCCCATCAGACAAACAGGACCTAAAGCTTTCAACTTTGAGAGAGAGGAGAAAATCAAGCTCCACTCTTAATTCAGATCTGAAAAAATCCACAGGTATTTCTGTCCATCCTACCACTGTGAGAACTCAACAACTCAACACTGTGAGTCCGATGCTTTCCTCAGTAAATGCTTGAGTCAAGAAGCATTTACTGAGGAAAGGAAATAGACACAAAAGAAGAAATCAAACACTGGACTGACCATCCCATAGTCCTGACCTCAGCATCACTGAATGTGTCTGGGATTACTTGGATCTTGAGAAACAGAAAATGTAAAATGTAACTTCTAAGACCTTTGGAAATGAGGAAAATATCATGAAAATATCCCTGTAAATTTCTTTTAAGTTCTCAAGTTCTCCTGAAAAGAATGGAAGCCGTAATAAAGGCTACTGTGGACACTAAATACTGAACAATCTGATATTAAGTATTTAGTTGTTGAGGTTTTCAGAATGCTCTGCTTTTTGACACTGAAAATTAAATAACTGATATATGTATGTATATATACTGGCGAGAAAGGAGACACACCGTGAAATCTACTACGAGATTCGCTCTTTATTTACACCAGCAGAAAACGCACATAAACTGCAGGGAAAACAGCAGGGTGGTCGCCTCAAGCCACAAAACTCCCCTCCACGGTAGACACCCAACCCCACACAACTAAACCCACACCCCAACACAGAATAACACAATAAACACATAACACATTTTAAACTAGCAAACAACGACATGAACAACAAAACAACAACATTTTAAGTACCTTTGGCGAAGGTGGGCAGCTCTGCACACCACGCCTCTAGAGCCCCTTTTGAGAACCGGAGCAAGTGGCAGCCGCCACTTTATATGCCAAACAGCCCGTTTACCATCACGGGTACAGCACTGAAACTAGAAGAATCAAACGTCAGTAACGAATATTGTCATGAATATGATAACTGTATTTATAAACACGGCTCATCTTAATATAATCAGGTGTTGTTCTCACATCTTCGTCTTGTGGTGATCATGTTTTATTAGAACTACAGCTGCGTCCAAAACCGCACACTACTATACTACACATACTAAAGTAATGGAGTTCTAATGGTGGCGTAGTAGCTTTAACATGGCATTAAGTACGAAAGTGTGTGGTTTTGGATGCAGCATATGAGTTTTAAAAGTGCTCTGATTTATTTTCTGCTGCACTGTAAAGCGGCTCTTAAGTGAAGCAGTGACATAGCGCTGTACAACACCGCCATCTAATGGTCAGCTGTGGTGCTGCGAGTGTGCAGCCGCTGGGTTTTGTTGTTGTTTTTTTTTATACTTTAATTTTGAACTCCACATCTTTCTCCTGCTTGCAATGTGTTGTGATGTCGAAAATTAGCAGTTATTATTAGGAATTAAATGTAGATACAGTTTAAGCCCAGCAGAGCCTCAACTCGAAATGACATCACGAACCTCAGGAATATGCAACTGATACAGATCTAAGAGCTATGAATCCTCACTAATGTTTATCTGTCCAGATCATTTGCTTTTGCTGAACCAGTGAGTGAGTGAGTGCTCTTATTTCTAGGCATGCAGAAATACAACATAACTGTATCTTATCATGTTGTATTTGACTAACTTGCAAGCTTTTGTTAGCTTGGGGCTAACCTATGAACTTGTAGCCACAGCATTAGATATAAACGCTATAAAACTGTTGAATGCTCTAATAAACTGAAAATGAAAACATTAAAATGTGAATATAAGGCACAGGCACTTCTAATTTTTACTGTATTTTTACTTATTTTTTAAATCATTACACCCCTACTAAATGCATGTTAATCCTAATAGTGCCCTGATTCTGGCAGTCTGAAACGTTTTATTTTAGTTACAGTGTCTCAAAGTGCTTTACACAGTCATGTACGCAAAACAGTGTAGAGACAAAATGTCATCGTCTTAATGAAATGACAGCACATTTACAAGCAATAGGAGGAAAATTAAACCATCATTAAACCATCACTAACTCAGTTACTGAGCTGAATCAGATGTGCTAGATACGGGCATGCACGAAAGTGTATTGACTTTTAAAAATTAGTTATATTACGTTTTCTGTGTGGGTGTTTATTTATTTGTTCATCCATTCACACGTCTTTACACACCTGTCAATATTTTTCCCAGCAGATCCCGCCCACTTGCTCTTGGATTGGCCAGTATAAACTACTAGCCAATCATATCACATGAGGGCGGGGCTTGCATCAATACAGGTGGAATTGTGCCTAAAATCGGGTGGTCGTTACTAAACTACAGCAGCTTCTCTTTACAGAGTGACAGTAAACGTTGCTACAACTCCAAAACGTCTACCTTTACATAAACCAACCATTTTGCTAACGTCAGAATGGCTTTTCGTGATCCAGGATTACAGTAAAACATGTCATTTCATCCGGGCTAACAGAGCTGAAATGCGACCCTTAGCTTCTCCTGAACTGCTAACAGCACCGGCTGCAGTGTCGAGCATCTCAAACCAGGAGCCAAATAAAGGCCAAACTTGTGTTCAGTACCTTCGAAACAACAACCCAAGATTGAGATTAAATGTTATTTCGTCGGAAAAGTCGCAGCCGGACAGACCAAGAAGTGAGTACACTGAGACAAGTTCAGTTGGAAAGCTGCTACCTGCGGCTAACTTAAGTGTTAATATATATTACTGACAGATTAGCAGAGCTGTTAACGTTTGCTAACTACTGAAAACTTGTAAAACCACTTTTCTGAGGTGTTTGGTGACTAAAAGCCACATATTTTAGGTTAGTGCTGTGTAAATACCTTTTACAGCGTTAAAGCAGGTGTTTATTTTACTCAGTAGCAGCCTCTTTGGCAATAAAGTTCAGGCTGTTTAAATAGGAACTCCTCCATAATTGGCATGTTTATGGATTAAACTAACGTAATCAGACTCACGTTACTGGCCAAGTACGCGTACGAGAAATTATTCTTGTTGGAAATGAGTAAACAAACAAAAAGGGATGCACCGAGATGCTAATTGTGGGGTCATTGCTGATATGCGACATTTACAATTCATTTACATCTGTTGATGTCGATCCTGATATATACACGTTCATAAAATACAGAATTAGGGACTAAATAAACAAGCCGCTGTCCAAAAACAAACAAACAAAAACATGTATCTATGATTTTTTCGATTTCCATTTTTCTACATAACTTGAGCACACCAGCTGCCCTTTATGTTATGAAAAGATTTCATGATGAACAGACTAACAGAAATGCTCCAAAAATGCTTGAAATGAAATCTCTTTACATTAACTTACATTAAAGGTAAGAATGTTTTTGCCTTTTCCTGTAGTTTTGGAGATGCTTTGGACAATGATGAAATGCAGTAAAGTTGTGTCCTGTTTTTCCAGACTACAATAAATATGTCATCAAAAATATTTTTTTAATATCAGTCAAATGTGATCATCTGTCCACCAAACCAGTATGATTGCGATATCATTGTACATTACAAATAATACAAATACATACAAAGATACTGGTACAGGGTGAGTCACAGCTGTATATTATATACACAGAGCAACCTAAATGTATAAAGAAGAACAAATACAGAGGAATACATGCAGTATATTTACAGCAATATAGAATCGAGATTTGCAAGATTTGACTGTAAAGTAGGCCAAATGTGCTGTATGAGACAAATACAATGTGCAAGTATTTCAATTTGGAGTCCTGCAAGAGTGCAAAATGTACATATTTGAACAAAGTGCCCTGTTAAGAATGCGTGCATACTGTATGTGTACTGTATGTGATGCTAAAATTTATCTGCACTTTTTGCTGTTCTGTATAAACTATGCAGGTATTCATTCTCTCTTTTAGCAGGAGACCATTCAGAATTAAGAGGTAGTTCAGAAAACACTGTTGGTGACGTATGTGGACGACATTTTCTGTTTGATCCAAGATGGAGAAATGGGGTATACTGCAGGAATAATTTGACAGGTAATTTTTCCCCTACGATTAAAATGCATATTACTTTTTAGGTAATCATTTATCTCAGACATTTTATGTTTTGTATTGTGTTGTATTGTGTTTGTGGCTGAAGAGAAACTTGTATCATAACAAAAGGAGAAGACACTTACTCCTGCAGTTTAGGGGACTGACCAGCAGGTGGCGCAAAAAGTGTTCCAAAAAGAGTGTATATCATTTTTGTTTATCATTGTTTATCACATCTCTTTGAACAGATGACGCGCTAATGAAACCCATCTTGCCTCTGGTTTTTCGAGATTACGGCGTACATCGGTCCCACAATTTAAACAGATTTTCTCATCGAAAACAACTGTCCTACAGAATGACAAAGCCCTGCACTTTTGGGTTAGTACATTAATACTGTTTTAGAAGACTATTGCTTTAATACACATCGCAAATAAACATACACTTGTAAGTGTTTTGATTCCGGCTGGGTATTGAAATTCACTATTTTTATGGTACTGACCCAGTTACTTCAGTACTATAGAGTATTCACACATGTCATACAGTAGCAAATTTCAGTACCTTAGTAGTCAGTCTAACAGTTTCTGTGAGCCAAAATAGATGCTTGTTGCAAAATCTGGACTCATGATTGGCTGTCTAAATCACATTCAGTATGAGTCTTATTAGTCTAGCCAGTAAATAGACCCACTAAGTTTATGTACTTTATTGGTCCTACAAGGGAAATTCGTCATTTTGCTGCCTTACTATGCCCAATCTGGAAGCAGCACTTCCAGCACCTCCTGTTCATTTCTGGTTTAAGCCAGGCCGACTTTCAGTTTGTAATTTTAAAGAAGGTATAAAAAAATGTTCAGGAATCAGTTTTGAAATCAAGGTATCGGTATCATTGTTGAAAATTTTTTAATGATACCCAGCCCTGCATATAGTTTACAGCATTAGAATATTCCTTTTATTTGTGTTCATGTACCTCTACCTATTAAATAAACATTAAATAAGTTAACTAAATAAAACTACGTAAATTGAAAATTTTGAATGAATGAGATTTGATTGCAGGTCCTTTGAGGAATATGATCTTCCAACAGCTCCATCAGTTCTGTTAACAGTTACCACGCCACCGATCAGAGGAAGGAGATCAATTACTTTTACTGAAAGTTCTAAAAACAGGTGATTTATAGAAGTGCACCCAAAACAAACTCTCATAATAGTAGTAGTAATAATAATACAAATACAAATAATAATAATGATAATAAAAAACATTCTATGTTGAATGGAAACTGATTGCTTTCTTTATCTTGCCTTTCTGCAGGTCAAGGATCAGAGTTACGAACAGAGTTCATAATCTCCTCACTGTTAGATTTAACAACACAAGTACGTATATTGCTTTTTTTAATGCATTGGTACACATGAGTTCTCCTTAATAACATTCAGGGATTGTATTCTACTCCAAATTGTTGAGATTGTAAAGCTTTAAAATAACAGTTGAGCAAACAGTGAAGCATTGAATTGACTGAGAAATTATTATTATGTAATATATAATGTAATTCTTTTTGATATAATACTAATTATTACAAATTCTAAACTGTTTAATCTTATTTATGTGAGATGTGAAATACAAAAATACCTGTAAAAATTATTCTTATTTTATATCCCATTTCTTCTTCTCATATGGTCTTATACAAATGTCTGTGTGCTCCTTGTCAAATTCCATGTGTTGTTGATTTTCAAAGTGTAAATAAGTGAGCACATCCTCTACAGAGAACACGCTTCTGCACATTTTAATGCACAATTACTGTTTATTTACTGAATTAAACATATTGAAAAAACACATTGTATTATAAACATTTCTCCATATGTTACATTAAGCAAATAGTTAGAGGATGAGTGAACTTATTTGCATTTAGACATGCAATTTGACCAGCAGGGCACAAACTTTCTATTACTCATACTACTACTCATAACGTCTGCACAGGCTGCGCAGGTTCAAAGAGTGAGAAAGTACTTTTGCACTGTTTTAAGGACATTTTATCTGTCATCCCTCAAAAGCATGTCTAACACTGTCTTCACATTCGGTCCAACGTCATATTACAGTATGCAGTAGGGCTGTCACTGTTGATTATATTAGTATTGGAGTAAAGGACCGATGATTTGATCATTCGGTTAATAATCAGGGCTTTTAATAAAGGCCAAAGCAGCTCTCTTATGAAGCATCAAAAACTATTTGACTGCTTATAGCGCCCCCTTGTGGAGGACTTGTAGCTTGCAAAACGAGTGATTCCTAATGCTTCACTTTCAGGAAATATGGAAAAATCTCATTAAAAACGTGTAAAAAGCAAGGCTAAAATCACTCAATAGTTGTGATCGTCTCCCTCTCAGGCAGCACAGCATTAAAAATCAGCATGTTTCTGTGATGGATCCGTCGCTGCATCCATAAGTGCAAGTACTGTGCACAGCGAAAGCCATTTGCCAAGGACATCCAGAATCACTGCTGATTTCTCTGGATTCAAGCTCATTTGAAATGAACTATTGCTCAGAGGAAACACGTATTGTGGTCTGCTGAGTCAGCCATGATTGTTTATGGAAGTAATGGAAATTGGTTGTCAGGCCAAAGAAGTAAAGGATTATCCAGATTGTTACCAGTGTTCAAAAAGTTCAAAAGTCATGTATATATTTCAAATATAAAGATTACAAATTTGTACAGTTTGTATAGTTTGTTTGAGTTTAAACAAGTACACCAGCTAACGAGTTCAGAAATCAAGGCACAGCTCCCTAGGAGATCTGGGTGATTTTAAAAGGAACCCTGACTGTGTAGACATTACACTTCAATATGGTGTGCATGTCCAGTACTATTAAAATATGTTGTATAAATCAAACAAAATACTTTATTTATTATTAGAACTAGAAAAAAATAGGAGTACAGTGCAACTATATGACCATCAGTGTGACAGTTGTGACCTACTAATAGAGGGACTTTGCATATTTGTCATGTTTTTTTATATAATAAACAAAACATTTTTATTTGGTTTATACATCATATTTAATACATCACACTATATACATCATATGTTTTGGACATGTACAGCATTTTAAGGCATACAAGTCTTAACAGTCAGGGTTTTCTTTAACATGATAGTGAAAACATTTGGTCCTTTGTGACTAAATACATGTTAAATGACTGAATGTTCCTAATGTTGATCAGGTAATAATTAAGTGTTTGGATCGGAGTGCTCTCTGACTGATAGGAGGAATTAAGAAAATAGAAGAAAAAAAGTTAATTTCAAATCAGGAGCACTAGAGCACCTCAGCAAAAATGTGTATAAATGTTCATTGATCAGGCTTTGTTTCTGACTGTAAGTCATAGCAGTAGGAGAATCAAAAAATACATTATCATACAAATTGATTCATCCAAAGGGTAAATTCCAGTTGATTTTTTAAAGTTGAGTAATTGCTTAACAGTTCATCAGTCCAACCCCCCCCCCACAAATTCATACACTTTTAACAGGTGTTTTTTAATTTTGGTTTATTTTGCAGCTCAGTCATATCCTGATCCAGTCTTGGGGGCTCCACCATCGTTCGTCCAAAGAATTTCTGAAATCTCCTCACTGCAGGAGGAGACAGTGCGTCAGGAGAAGCTAAAAAATCTGAAAAAGTACAAGAGACAGGAAACATAAGCAAAGAACTGTTGGTGAAAGAGAAAAGACTTCACTGTACAGTGCCAAAGCAATGCCAACAAAGATGCAAAGAGCATTACCCTGTGGGGGAATGCTATAATAACACTTATTACACTGTCAAATAGAAAAGTACAAGCAAGAATACCCAGTGTCATCTTTCATCTATGGATGTTTTAGATATTAGGGCTGCATTATTAATGCTTTAACTGGCAATTGAAATAAATAAATGAATATTCACATCACCAGGTTTTATCTTTGCCAGGCTTGTACTACAGCAGTCTTTAACTCTTGCTTGTTTCAGGGGCTAGTCCCGAAAGTTTTTTCTTTAGCATATGAAAGGCATACTCAGTCAGGTGACTGACTTGGTCAGTCAAGTATCAATTTTTAGCTTTAAAAAATTCCTTTGCTGCTGTGGCAGTCTGTATGGAATCATATGGAATCAATGTCTTGCTGTAGAATGAAACGCTATCCAATGCGTTTGGAGGCATTTTCCTGAATTTCAGCTGATAAGATGTTTCTATACACCTCAGAATTAGTTTGGCTCCTGCCATCAGCAGTTGCATCATCAGTGAAGATGAGGGAGCCAGTACCCATGGCAGCCATGCAGGCCCAGGCAATAACACCCCCACCACCATGTTTTACAGATGAGTTAATATGCTTTGGATATTAGGAAGTTCCTTTTTGGCCTCCACACTTTGCTCTTGTCATCAGTCCAGGTGTAGATTTGTCAGTGCCACAGAACACTTCATGAACAAAAATACAGAGGCTATACTGAAAATTTGCTAAAAAGTACTTAAAAGAGCCTTCACAGTTCTAGTAAAAGGTCTTGTGGACAGATGAGGCCAGGACTAACTTGTATCAAGTTTGCAAGTTAAAGTGTGGGGCCAAAAAGGAACTGCCAAAGATCCAGTGCACCTCATCTGTAAAACAAGGTGGTGGGGGTGTTATTGCCTGGGCCTGTATTGCTGCCATAGGTACTGGCTTGCTCATCTTGTATCTGCAAAACATGGTGGTGGGGGTATTATTGCCTGGGCCTGTATTGCTGCCATAGGTACTGGCTTGCTCATCTTCACTGATGATGCAACTGCTATGGCAGCAGCAAAATGAATTCTTATCAGCTGAAGTTCAGGAAAATATCTCTAAACTCATTGGACAGCACTTCATCCTACAGCAAGACAGTGATTCCAAACATACCGCCATAGCAAAATTAAGTTTTTCAAAGCTAAATACTGGAGGATTCTTGACTACCGAAATCATGCACGCAGACTGTATCCCATTGAGCAGGGCTGGGATCATTTTATCAATTATCAGTAACAGCTGTGAAATCACTAGGTAGAATTTAACTTTTTATATTAATTAATTAATGTATTTATTTTTCTTTCTGTTTTGTCTGTGTGAGTGTCGTGCGCTCCATTCTGGAAACTGAAACTCCAGACACTGTGTCAGAAACAGTAGTTTTCATTTTTAATGCAGGGCTGTAAGTAACATTTTTCAGTTTGTGGCACTGGTGCTATAAAAGTTGCAAATGTTGTGGCACAAACTAAATATTTTTAGCACTAACAACAACATAAAATATAAGTATCAGTAAGTGGAACACGTTATCATAACTGTAAAAATACAGAAGCAGTGTTTAAAACATTTGTATTTTAATGTTTATGTACAGAGAATTCATTTTCTCCTGAATAATGCACACACAAAGGGGCACTGTTAAGTAGCATTTTTTCTGGATCTTTAAGTTGGAGGAAACCCATGCCAGCAGTAATGCATGTATGGTTGGAGTAATAAATTAAAAATAGGAAATTAAATTGTTTACCACCCAAAATGTAAGACTCACTGTTATTTAACTGTTATTTAAATACATGTTATTTTTAACTTAGCTCATTGTTAAGAAACAGGCTAAAGAAAAATGCAAAGGCAGTAGGAACAGCAGGGGGCGCCTCAGCTCCCGATTTCAGAGACGTCTTTGTGGGGACTTATTTTTTTCGGCAGGCAAACTGGCTTTAATATGACTTTATAGCTCTAAACGAAATAACTTTTGGCGTTTTTCTACATTGCGATGCACTTTGTTTACAAACATTTGAATTTGTTTTCTACTGTTACACCAGAGCGAGTTTAAGGGAGGCCTGGCTACTTCCTGTTTCTCCTGCTATAATGGCAACATGCGGCTCTGGAGCTTCTTGTTTGAAATGCGGCTCTGCCAGCTTCTTGTTTGAATTTTCCCGTTTCACCTTAAATGGTGAAACAGTTGGCTACATTCTGGTGCCTCAGGCAGCATTTAAGGTGGAACTGGAAAATTCAAACAAGAATCTGGCTAAAGACAAGCTGACTTCATTAGACACATTAAGAGACATTTTACAAGAAACTATTCTACCTTTGTGGCAAAGTTTCCTATCAGAGATGTGAGAGCAGCAGTGCAAAGCAAGTCTTTCGTTTATATTTTTAGCCTATACTAGTACATTAGAACATACTGAGACATATTTACAGCCAAGATGGTAAAACGTTACTTCAGTAAACTGGACATGAAATGTTGTGGCTTCCACTGTGGTTAGATTTTTGTTGAAACTTGACAAAATGGCTCGTCCTAAGATTTGGCTTGCTGATACCCGTGTTATACCAAAAACCATTACTGCAAAGCGCTAGAGGGCACCTGCTAGTGAGTCCTCAAGGAATAGGGTGAATGGAGCTAAGCAGCTAAGAACAAAACATTGTTTCTAATTATATGTGTGAGACCTTTCTTTAATTTAGGAAAATAGAAAGATGTATTCCATTAAAAAAATCAAAGAAAACATACCAGTACATATTTATGTTTTTTACAGCAAAGAATTTTGGGTAGTAGGACGCTAACATTACTGCTCCCTAGTGCTGATGGGTTAGCCTTACTGCTACTGAGTGCTGATTGGCTGACATTACTGCTTCCGAGTGCTGATTCGCTGACATTTCTTCTGAGTGCTGAGTGGTTGGAATTACTGTTACTAAGTACTGACTGGTTGGCATTACTGCTGCTGAGTGCTGATTGGGTGGCAAGGTGATCAGCTCATTGGTTGAGTAAAGCAGTTTGCACTCATTGAGGTCGAACATACACTGTTATAAAATTCTATGACTGGAGTTCAAGAGCGGACAGTGATGCGCAGATTATTAAAAACACCACACTTGCCCTCAGCTAGGTAAGTGAGCTAATCGTAATCATAAAGTAGTTTACTGCTTATAAACAGTTTGATTATCAACCCAGCAATACATAACATCAACTCAGTGATCAATATAAACAGTTATTACAAGCATATAAGTAAATATAGAAATGAATTGCGTTATGAATAAAGTATAATTTAAATAAAGAAAGATAAATACTACATCAAACTCTTTCATTTTAAAAAATAAAGACAAAAATGTGGTTAGTATGTATGTCAAATGAATCGCTGTGGAAAATGTGAGTAAAGCAGATATAAATGCGGGACTAAATGTGGATCAAGGTGTACACTTTACAGCGAATTATATAAAATAGTATAATTTAATTTTTGTTGCAGTTGTTTTTATGTATTTTTTTTTGGGGGGGGGGTTGCTTAGCTTTGACCCTGAAACTGAGCAGTCAGACTTAGTGAAGGAGTTTTATTCAGGAGCTACTGGCAGCTTGTTTTCTTTGCAGCCTTTCAAGTTTAGTCAGACAAAATGACCTGGAACAAACAGTAAACAAAGAGACCTTTAATAAAAGGCTGCTGTAGAGCCGCCCACAAGCGGTTTATCATTTCAGCCCCACCCCGCTCAGCTCACCCTTAAAGACACACAAACAGCTCACATTCTCCTGCTCCTGTAGTGTAAATCCAAACACTTACATTTTAAGCACTTTCCTTACACATTTCTTAACACGTCACAGTGTTTAGCTGAGTTGTTCTGCTGTTTGAGAAAAAACTGCAAAATCAAATAATTACCAGTGTTTTATACCTGAAATTATTGTTTTCTTTGTTTGACGTTACAGTGAAGAATTCCAGTGTTTTTTTTAAATAGGGGAATTAAGCACTGTGACTTGTTTAAAAAGTGTTACACAAATGTGTATCATTCCTAAATATTTGGATTTACAGTGTGGGTGGTGAATATCAGTGCAAGCTTTGCTCATTTCTGTCTAGAATTAAACTGCACACATTGATCTCCATCCCAGCTCAGAAGTAAGTTTAGTTAGGTAGGTATAATGAATACAGCTGCTAATATACAGCAAATAATTACAGATTAAACAGGTAGGTATCTTAAACTAGTATTTATTAAATTTTAGATAAATAGCAAAATGCATGCATGCATGAGGAGTATGAGGCACTGGTGCCCCTTCACTTTGGAGGAAATTCAGAACTGCGTTAAAGGGGAATTTCACTGATGATTCAGTGGTTAAGATGTAAACAAAATCATTTAGAGTGGTTTGGTGTGAAATGGTTCATTGTAGAGTCTCAGTTCTTTACAGTGGTGGTGACAGGAACCAGGTGTAGGAACCACGATGTCTCAATGCAAATATAGCCATTTTATTTGCTATCCAAAACCATCAGTGCCTTCTGAGTTTTTATATGTAATGTTGATGACGGTAAAATAGTGATTAATCTAAAAAAATAGGTTACTTTTGGGGACTATTTTGCATCACGACACCTTGCAGGTACCCCTCCACCATGAACACCATGAATTCCTCTTTTTTCCTGGTTTGAAACTGAGACTGCAGTCTGTGCTCCAGAAAAACACAAACTCCACCAAATCCCACGCATAGTGGTAACACCATTCAAGTTCGGCCTAGCAGAATAATTTAGGCAGTATGAGTCCAGTCCAGGTAACTTAGTACGCGAATCATATTTACAAAGTTCCCTTATCTAAAAAAATATAGTTGATAAGCAAAGACATGTTTGCAGACTGAAGTTTTAGTTTTAGTTTTCCATGTTTTTGGAGAACACTGAGTCATACAGAAATCACACATTCAAGTCAAATAGAGATTACAGAACAACTCCACACAATGTAAAGCAAGTCTTTGATAA